TCATGAAAAATCTTTCTTATGCCTTCCATGCACAATGGTTGCTTCTGCATTGTACAATTTTTATAATTTTTTTAAGCTAATTTTGTTAGCTTAAGTGAAAATTATAAGAGAAAAATTACTTACTGAAATTATTTCACTTAAGTCATACAATATATTATAATATTTGCTTAAGCAAATAATATTTGGCTAAAATCAATTTTGACAAAATTTGTTAGTTCATTACTGTCTATAATTCATTTAAGTGAATAACGTGTCACTTAAGTAAAAATTACAGTGAATGAATTTTATATATTTTTTATTGTTTAACAACATCTCTCTAGTCATTACTTTTATTTTGATTATATCAAAGTGTTAATTTTTAAGATAATTAGATTGAGTATATGATATTTTTAAATTTAATTAATTCCAATTATAAACACCATAGTTCAAAGTATAACAATGCAAAATTATATATTTATTTAAGTTTATAGTATATTTAAAAAATAAGTTTGTATCTTATTAAAAATAAAAAATAAAGAGGAATTAAAATAGAACAAGTAAAAATTGAACATAATTTTTATAATATTCTAAGTAAAAATTACTTAATTTTATATGATCTTTTATATTGAAGATATTTTTTAGACTTTTATTACTTAAATTTCAACAATGATAACTTAATCCATCATCAAATTAGGTGAATAAATTTAAGAGAATATAATTAAATTTTAAATTAATAATTGAACATGTGATTGAGATTTTGAATCTGCAAAATTATAAGATGTTACTAAATTTCATATATTAATAATACTAATTATTAAAATTTTAATAAAAATAATATTTATTATTTTATTATATTGTGTGCATGAATTGACATTAGGAAAATTATATCACAGCTATAAATTTACATTCTTGTGGATACAACAAAATTAAAGTAGAGAGAAGTGTTAGGAAACATATTTTTAATATATTTTTAATTATTAGTTAAAATTTATATAAAAATATAATAAAAATTATTAAATTAAAAATAAAAATAGTTACAATAATGTATTTTTTATAATTTTTAATAAATTATAATTAAAAATATTTTTAAAAAGTATTAAACAATAAGTTTAATAAATTCTGAATCTTACTTTTAATTTAAATATTTTTTAGAATTAATATTTTTTTCTTATTTTATAATTTAAAAAAAATCTTAATTAACAATATATTAAAAATATATGTTAAAAAGTATAACTCCTCACTTGACAATTTCCGAGAATCGTCCATAATTTATTGGCAAGTAAACGTTGTTCACGAGCTAACGCGTTGGTTGAGTTGAACAATGAATGAGGGTTAAAATGTTTATAGGGGAAAGGGATCAACTTAAAAACTTGTGCGCTTTGGAAAAGTAAGTTCTGTTATTCATTCTTTGTATTTTTCCATTGACGCAATCATTCAAATACCATCGGGACCTGTGTTTCTTTCCTCTTTTTTAAATGTCAAACCATTCAAAATTACAGCTGCTTTAGACTTTCACTTTAAAATGCCTTAACTGCCAAATCCCTCAACCGTTTTTATTCTTTTATTTTTTCACTACCTTCCTCTTATAATTTATTATATTTACCTTTTTTACTCTTAATATATTTATTTATAATTGTATAATTTTCAAAAAAATAATTAATAACTAAAAGTATATTAAAAAAATACATCAAAAATCATATAATAATTTTATACTTTTATATATGTTTTTTAAATATATTTAAAGATAATAACATATATATAGGTGAATAATTTTTTTGTAAATCTAAAAATTCTTAAATTAATTTAAAATTTTATTTAATTTATATTTAACGGTTAATAAAATAATAAATTATAACTTATGTAAGAATTTTTATATTTATATTAATTTAAAAAAATTATATTCTATATATATAAATCTATTTAAAGTAGGTAAATTAGTATGCACGTCAAAGTCTTCTTTCTGAGTAGTCAAAATAGTTGTATTTGTTAGAATTTAAACTTGCGACTATAGAATATTATATAATAAAATGTAATATATTAAACCATTAAATAATATAATTTTTAATAAAAGAATATTATACTTAACTTTTTATCATATAAAATTTTATATATATTAAAAAATTCATAATAAAATAGTGTGTATAATGTGCTTACCAAGATGTAGCTAGCCATAGTTACGGCCTCCAAATTTTGGCTTACCTTATGGATTAATCTCCAGATAATGGTACCACATTATTCTTTCTGATACGTCATATGAAACTGACGTTGGAATAGAAAGCCAAAAAAACAAGAACACTGAGGTAACCAACATGGAAGAAATTAGTGTTGGTATAGCATGTGTTCTAATCTTCAATCTCATTCACGTAACAGTGTAAACCAATGGGCGTATAAGGGAACAAACCATCTTAAAAATTCAATAACTATTTATGTACAGAAAACTAGGATGTTTTTGCCGACCAACCAGATACATGCACAGAGCCGTGTTTGATTGATTGAGTTTACTTTCTAAATAATCCTTTGGAGTTTGGCTATTTTATGTATCACTTTAGGCTAAAATATCTCTTGCAAATTGGATTATGCTATAATTTATAAATAATGATAATTAAATATCACAAAATTGTGGGATAATGGGGACCTCGCTACGTGGAAGTTGTACGTATGTACCAATCCATTGAAAATTGGATAAGAAAATGAAGCAAATAGGATGATGAACCAGTCACGTTGCCAGCTTGTTTATAACGATGTCAGCAGCACATGAAGCTTGGAATATAATTACACCTAATTTTAAAACATCATAGGTGTTAGCTTCACATAAGATACAAGAAAGTGGAAAGACGGCATGGCACGACGTACAAGTTTCTGGTTATTCAATATTTAATTTTTTTTTGTTCAGGAGGTGTATATTTTCAAGAATGTCAAAGCTATGTAATGAAGATTTATGTATAATGATTTTTTTAATTAAAATATTAAGATATTATTGGTATTAAATGTTGCAAATTTTTTTAAGGAGTGTATTTATTATGAGATTTGAATTTGTGTATGAAAAGAAATAACTATTTTTAAATTACATTGTGGAATGATATTAATTGTACTTCGTTTACCTTAATATATATATATATATATTAACTGCACTTTGTCTTTAAATCTAAGGATGACCAATATCAGAGGGTAAAGAACTTAACACGAAATTTTTGAATTCTTCTCGAAGATCATTATCATAAAGTGTATCCCTTCTTTTTATTACCAAAAAGAGTGTCTCTTTAATTATATTCAAAGATCATAGTCATAATATGTTTACTAGTGTGTATCTTTGTAGATAATTTATGTCTTAATTTTTAAACAACAACTGTTTTGGACAAAAGTATTTATAACGATTTTTTTTTAATATTATGTTATGTAGTTTTTATGCATTAAATACTTATTTATTTATTTCTGCTGATATATTTAAATTTTTATAGTTTATGTTTTATTTTTTAAAAGATTTATCTCTTTATTTAATTTAATAAAATAATAATAATTATTAATTAGAATATTTATTTTTAAAATTCATTATATTTTTTTAAAAAAATTAACATATTTAATTTTTATTAAAAATTATTTTAATTTAATAATACCTATATACTGCATAAAAATTTACTTGTAACAAAATAAGATATTCTTAAATTACTATCCCCACCCCCATCGCAAAAAAACAAAAAATAAAAACAACCTGTGACTAAACCCCACCCCTTTTCCTTGTCCATAAAAATTTAAAATTAAAAAAATTAATATGAAAGAAAGATCTTTCTTAAATTACGAAAACTTTTAAATATTTTTGTAAATATTCGTATTTAAAATACTAGTACAAAAATTAGATTATTATTTAAAATATTTTGAATTTATGCGACATTGCACAAATGAAAATTATATACAAAAAAATTTCATTGGAAATTATAATATTTAATAGAATCAGTACATTTAATTATATTAAATTTTATAATTTTTAATAAAAAATTACTATATATAACATTTTATCCTGTATAATATACAATATTATATGAAATTAAAAAAAATAAATTATTTATTACTATATTCTTAGCTGTATTTTTTTAATGAATTTTATTATTCTCAATCTTTAAAGTTGAGATTAAACATTTAAATATAGTAATTTTTATTAAAAATATAATTTTTTTATTTTTAAAGCTATAAAAAATTTTAATAAAGATTTACTTTTTAGTTTCTTTTAACATTTTTCTTTTTAAATACAATTTAATACTTAAAATTCTTCATTAATTATTTATAATCTTTCAAACACATTAAATGACATCTTAATTTCAAATGCACAAATATCCAATCTAAAACATTTATATTTTTACTCTCAGGGTCAAGATCATGTAATTTAACGACTGAATAGAGGATTATTCTGTAAGTAAGTGAATTATCATCTGATAAGAAAATTATAAAAAAATCAAATATATTTCCTTTTGAAGGCCTATTAATCTCCAAAAACTTTACAAATCACATTGGAACGTTCTCCATCAACATGTACCACACACGATAAATAGGAGAAAAGTATCAGTTTTTCTTCCCTTTCATCTCTATCAAATTGTCAGTTTAGTCAATGAGTCTTGATTAATACCGTGTCTGTTTTAAAATAAGAATACAATTTTAGACAATATTTATTTTTAAATAGGAAAAAAAACAAAACATACATTACAAATCTGGATTTTCCATTTTCTTCTTGAGATAAAATTTTCCCAAACATTCCCTTTTTGCCCGTTTAATTTACACTCGTTATATTTTCATGATATTTATCTCTACTTACTTAATTCCATATTTTTTTGGTAATATTCATGATTAATTAATCTGATTTGATGTAAAATTAAATCCAAATCAAAGAATTAAATTAAACACGTAAAACTTGGTCACATAAAAATTATATTTTTTATTTTTAAAATAATTTTCAATGAAGAAAAAAGAGAATAATGTCATAAGACAATGTGCTTGGCATTACAATACAACTCAACGAGTCTCTTCATGGTCTATTCAATTCAAACACACAGATACACACACCCCAGTAGAAGCAAGAAACAAGAACCTGATACTCACACCTCTCTCTCTCTCTCTCTCTGTGTGTATATATAAATATAAAAATTAACGCGTCTTTCATGTTGTTACTCACACAACCCCATGAAGAGATATATAACATACAAGTCTTGAAAACTCCACAACACATGAACCCCTCTTTCTCTCTTCCAGTTTCTGCGTGAATGATCAAAACTTGTAACCATTGAAAGAAAGAGAATGGCGAATTGGGCAATTCTTGTTCAGAATTGCATATCCAAGAAACCAAACAATCAACTAACAAGACTCTACCTTCTCACCTTCACAACCTTCCTCTGCACACTCTTCTACCTTCTCGGTCTCTGGCAACACTCGCCAACCACCATCGCCATCTCCGCCAATCGCAACCTCGCCTCCGGCCACCGAACCTGCCTCAATTCCACCTCCACCGCCGTTGCAACCCCTTCCCCTGACCTCGACTTCTCCGCACACCACTTCGTCCCCGACCCTCCCCCCACGAAGGCGCGTGACATACACGCGCCGCCATGCGACCCGGCGATGTCAGAATACACGCCCTGCGAGGACGTGCAGCGGTCTCTGAAGTTCCCCCGAGACCGGCTGATATACAGGGAGAGGCACTGTCCGGCGCCGGAGGAGATTTTCCGGTGCCGGATTCCAGCGCCATTCGGATACCGAGTACCGCTGCGGTGGCCGTCGAGTCGCGATGCGGCGTGGTACGCGAACGTGCCGCATAAGGAGTTGACGATAGAGAAGAAGAACCAGAATTGGGTTCGGTTCGAAGGGGACCGGTTCAGGTTCCCCGGTGGTGGGACCATGTTTCCACGTGGCGCAAGCGCGTATATCGATGATATCGGAGACCTCATTAACCTTAAAGACGGGTCCATCAGAACCGCCTTAGACACTGGATGTGGGGTACGTTCTTGAACCGGTTTACCGGTTCGGTTTTTCTTGACCCGTTTTGAGTCGGTTCTTTTTGTTTTTATACTTTATATCTTCTTTTTTTTTTGGTGAACCGGGTGGTTCACCTCCCCTCTATGGTGGTTTAACAACTAAACAATTATGAATTCTGAGTAGGAATGTGATTGGTCCACCATTGACCAATTGGGATTTTTAAAAAAAATCAACTTTCTTTTTGTGGAATTTGGTTTTGGTAATAAATTTGAATTTTTGTCTGATTTGGAATGTTTAAGAACGAAAAAGAAAATGCGAGTTAATTGGGATTCTAAATCGCAAATGGGGTAGATATTTTTTCCTTTGATTGATGCTTTGAGACAATGAGATTTTATACATGGGAATGTATTATTTTCGAGATCAAGTGGGCGTAAAAATTTGAATTTTGATATATTCTCTTTCGTTTATTTCCAAATAAGATAGAAGACTGGTTGGACTAATAAAAAATAATAGATAAAAAGACTGGTTATAATCTATTTTATAATCTTAATTCATTTTGCGAATATGCCAATGGCATGTCTCTAGTATATGATTGTGATTGAGTTGGCCGTCTCATCCTCACCTCGTGACGAAATTTTCTTAGGAATTACATAATTTCATAGGATGCGGCTGAAATAAGATGAACATGGATGTTTGCAAATACCTTAATAGATAAGGTCTTAAGCAATGTTCAAAACTTGAAAGTTGGAACTATAAATTTGTCCACTTGTGGAGAGAGAAAAGGGAAACTTGGAATCAACTAGAACTAGTTTGCAAAACAATCTACTTAAATTCTTCAAACTGAAGTAAAGTGTCTTCTTGACCCGAGGGAAAAGTACAGTTTGCTTAGTGAAATATTGGATATTTTTTCTGTGTTTTCCCATTCATTTGATGTGAACTATTAATTGTGATTTTTAATTCACTTAGTGCTAATCATAATGATAATATTCTTTGAAGTTATGTTGTTTGTTGGAGTATTAGTGGAAAGCACAGTACAAGATAATAGAGTTAGATGTTGAATCGTTGATTACTACCCAACCATCTCAATCATGCTTCCCTCACCTGATTTACAAGTTACTTCACCGAACCTCTCTCCCTTTTGCCACCTAATAAATTTTTTGGTCAATAACTGTGAGATAAAATATATTAGAAGACGTTTTAATTGAGCCTCCTCTTTAGCTTATTTCTTATGGGATATCAAACATGTTCCTTTTGTTTCGTGCTGTGGCAACATGAGCAGTCACATCCATTAACATCACCTTTTTTTGGTAACATGGAATGCGTGTATCTATTGAAAATTTCATGTTCTGTGTATGACAAGTTTTTCACTTGGCCTAAAGTTATAATTTAATATTCAGGTTGCTAGTTGGGGGGCTTATCTTCTGTCACGTGACATAATAGCAGTGTCATTTGCACCAAGAGATACACATGAAGCTCAGGTTCAATTTGCTCTTGAACGAGGAGTTCCTGCATTGATTGGAGTTCTTGCCTCAATTAGGCTTCCTTACCCTTCAAGAGCCTTTGACATGGCCCACTGCTCACGTTGCCTCATTCCATGGGGCCAGAATGGTATTTACATTCACACATATATATGCACAATTGTTAGGAAGCCAGTTTATGTGAATGTGTAGAACAAAAGTGTGTTTGGATATGTAACTAAGTCAAGTATTTATTTAATAATTTTTTATATGATTATTTATACTATGAATTTAACCTTAAATTTGATAATAAGTTAAAATAGCTTATTTTGATAAGCTATGCTAAGAAACTTATTGTAATAAGTTGAGAGGAATTTATAGGAGTCATAAGCTATTTTCATAAGCCCATGAATGTTATACATTGGTTTAGATTTTTATTTATTTTTTTCAAAGGTTCTCTTAGAGAGTTAGCAAAAATAAGCTATTATTTCTTCAAAATAGGCACTAAATTTGTTTTTGGTTTTGCAATGGTGATTGGCAGAGGGGATTTATTTGAATGAAGTTGATCGTGTACTGCGTTCTGGTGGGTATTGGATTCTATCAGGGCCTCCAATAAACTGGGAGAACCACTGGAAAGGTTGGGAGAGGACTCGTGAGAGTCTCAAAGATGAACAGGATGGGATAGAGAAAGTGGCAAAAAGCCTATGCTGGAAAAAATTGGTACAGAAGAATGACCTTGCAATTTGGCAGAAGCCCACCAATCATATACATTGCAAAATAACGCGAAAGGTCTTCAAGAATAGACCCTTCTGTGAGGCACAGGATCCAGACACAGCATGGTAATATAGCTTCTCTTTTTGAGTTTTTACAGTTAATGCTAGGCAGATAATTCTTCTTAGATAAGGTTGCATTCTTTTGGCAGTTTTAAGGAAAGATTGACTTGCAATAACTGTCATTGTTAGTTCCTTGTAGTATTGATTTTGCTTTTGGGCATAGCTTTTGCAGTTTCTCTTTTTAAAGGATAAAAAGCAAATTATGCTTGCTGCCAATTAGAGTTTAGTAGTGATACCAAAACCACTTGAATGATAAAGAGACTAGTCAGTAGTGAGCATAAATAAGTATGATCTAGCCACCTAAGCCGGTGTAGGATTTTCCACCTTGATTCCCACTCCATTCCTTTTAGGTTCCTGAATCCTGTTGATCAGCTCAAAAAGGAAGATTCTTTTTGGGCCCCTACAGTGACATATTTTGTTTGTTTGTTTTATACACCTTCTTCTCTTTGGTTTGCTTTCTTCAACATTCCTTTTCTTTGCAGGTACACTAAAATGGATACCTGCTTGACACCACTGCCAGAGGTAAATGACATCAAAGAAGTTAGTGGTGGCGAATTGGCAAAGTGGCCTGAGAGGCTAACATCAATTCCACCAAGGATTAGTAGGGGAAGTTTGGAAGGGATTACGGGTGAAATGTTCAAAGAAAATACCGAGTTATGGAAGAATAGAGTGGCATACTACAAGACCTTGGACTATCAGCTAGCAGAGAGAGGGAGGTACCGTAATCTGCTTGATATGAATCCTCATTTGGGAGGCTTTGCAGCTGCACTAATTGATGATCCTCTGTGGGTCATGAACACTGTCCCTGTTGAGGCTGAGATCAACACACTTGGTGTCATATATGAACGTGGATTGATTGGAACCTATCAGAACTGGTATGTCTTTCTTCCATTTACTCAATGGGATACATTAGTGGGGAGGGACTCATTTTAGGGAAAAGTATAGTGGCTTATTAAAGGTAAGCAATATAGTCTTTAAGCAATATGGCTAGTTGTGTGCAACAGGATATCTCACGTTGACATATTTAAAAGAAAAATATTAGTAACACATCATTTTGAATACACTCTAATGCACTTCTTGAGATTAATTTACTTTTATAAAGTTAAAGCAATTCTTAAAATTCTGAATTATTGATAAGTTCACGAGTGAGTTTACTTTACCTCAATTTGATTCAAAGTACATTGTGGTCTTGACCCACCAAAATTCAAGGATGATGCATACACTTTTACTTGCACTTTTGTGACAAGCTCCCTTCAGAGGACTTTCTTTTTCTTTAATTTTGGTCATGGACTTCCCACTAACAGCAGCTTTATGAAAAAAGTTTAATTGTTGATTATCTCTACTTATATCCTAAACACAACACTAGTGCTACCAACTTTTGGCCTTTAGTATGGACAGAGAACTGTTTAATAGATACACTTGTTTTCAATCTAGTATTATCACTAGTTTAAAACCCAAATCTTCGTCGCTTTGCACTTTTCAGCCCATGGTCGGTAAAGTTAACTACTAACAATATTTGTCTCCTCTTAGGTGTGAAGCCATGTCCACATATCCGCGAACTTATGACTTCATACATGGTGATTCAGTTTTTAGCCTCTACCAGAGCAGGTAATTGTCAATTTAATTGGTTAACTAGAAAATTTCAAAGAATAATTTGAAATTTGACATATAACTATTTCATAGTGATACATTTTATAAAATAAATTAATATGTTCTCAAATCAATGTGTCACAGATGTAAAATGGAGGACATTCTTCTTGAGATGGATCGAATTTTGCGGCCACAAGGTAGTGTAATCTTGCGTGATGATGTGGATGTGTTGTTGAAGGTGAAGAGATTTGCAGATGAAATGCAATGGGATGCTAGAATTGCAGATCATGAAAAGGGACCTCACCAAAGAGAAAAGATACTAATAGCAGTTAAGCAATACTGGACAGCCCCACCACCTGACCAAAATCAACACAGAAAGCTCTAATCTCATATGCTTTCTGTCCTCAAGATTTGTGTATTTTTCTTTTCATGTCAAAATTTAATTTTTTTTTTCATGAATTCTATTCTTTTCCAACCCCGGTTTCTGTGGGTGGAGTAAAGTGGAAAGTTTCCTTAAAGCGATTATGGGTCCTGAGTTTTTTGTTTTTTGGTGACTTATCTATATCCTGTAATTGTTCTTCAAATCTATCAGAAAGCTATCAAATGAGAGGTCAACTAATGGTGGACAAGGGTCGCAAAAGAACCAAACAGCTGTGTACAAATGTTTTGCTATGCTTGACACAAAGCTAGATAAGATTTTGTTTTGAAACATCCTTCTTCGTTTGCAACACAGCTCAGCAAAACGTATCATATTTTGCATTTAAGTTATCCGCGTAAATTCTTCTATTGTCACCAAATAATATATTACGTTATGTTTATAACAAATAAATACTTAATTTATTAAAATAAAAAATAGTTACAGTATTAATTGATATCTTCTATATTAAATAAATGAATATGTTAATTTATATGGGTAAAATATGAGTATTTTCTTAAAATAAATTTCACTGTAAATAAGGATATAAAAAAGATTTAGCAACTAATGCATGTTTAAATAAGACTTTGTTTCTTATAAATATAATTGAATGTAATAACATTGTTCTTATAAATACACAGGTAAAAAGTTTATTAAATAATAATAATAATAATAATAATGGATCGTTAAATAATAAGTTTTTTACTTGGATGATATATCATAATTAAACTCAATATTAGCTTTGCAAAAAAGTTTATAAAGTAACTGAAAGCAATTAATAAGGGTTACAATGGCTTATTCAATTTATGAGCCATTGAATATGATATCTATTTTACATTGCATTCTGGTATCCTTGTCAACTTCTATTTTACATTGCAATATGATATACCGTGTTAAATGTTTATAATTTTTTTAAAAAAATATTTGTTAAAAAATATTAAATGTTTAGCATTTATAAGAAACTTTTTTTATTATATTTTCATGAATACAGGAAGTGAAAGTATTAAATGTTTCGTTAAATATTTTAAATTCCATAGAAAAGAATTTTACATAATTTTTATGTTTTTGATATTATAGATATTTTCCTTTTTAATAGACACTTTTTTTTTAATCACGTGTATCAGTTAGAATTCAGTTAGATATACAATTAAAAGTTACTGTAAAAATCACAAATAATTAAGTGATAAAGCACACTCAATGTGTTTAAAATGACATTAATTTGACAAATAGTTTTGTTTGTGATAGTTTTAAATTATAGTTTTTATGATTATTATTATTATTGAAGTATAAAAAATATTTTTTTAAAATAAACTAAACCAACATTAAAATGTGAGGGTGTCAGAAAGAGTATGATATTTTACTTTAAAACTTCACTATCATTTATTATAATAAATAAAGTGATAAAATATAGAAAAATAATATATATATATATATATATATATATATATAAACTTTTACACTTAATCTAAATTTTTAATTTAACTTACATTTAACGGTTAGTAAAATAATAAATTATAATCTGTTAAATAAAAAATTTAAATTAAACATTAATTTTTAGATATATACTAATATAATAATATAATGTAAGAAAATCATGTCATATATATATATATACACACAAGCTTGGTGTCCAAAAGGTTTGTTAGTGATAAAATTAGAATTGGATTGTGCTTGAAACTTTGCATTTGTTTTTGAGAGCTTTTTGTTAATGTATTATGACGTAGGAGGTTAATTTAACTATCAAGATAGATAGCAATACTGTGTAAAAGCGATTTAAAACTGCACAACTAAATTTTGTACGCGGAAGATGCAGATCATTGGTTGGTTTTTTTTAAAACGGGGACAACATGCTTCAATCTTGGCACATAATTAGGTGTGTATTATATGATTACTCCTAAATTTAAATTTATTTATAAATAAAATTGGAAAAACATCATCGTTGTTAAATATTGTGAAATTGAATATTCAAAAATATATAATAAAAAATAGTTTATCATTAATAATGATTATTTTATTATATAAGAAAAATTGTAAAAAATTATGAACTTGAAAAGAAAAATTACACAAAAAAAACGTGAATTATTGCACATTATATTTATTTTTTAAAAATTGATATCATGAGTCAAAATTTTAATATTCGTAAAATTGAATTTACTTTCAAAAAAGAGATCTCACCAACTTGATACGATGATGTTTAGATTTAAAATTTAATTAAAATTTATATAATTACATTTAAGTAATAATAATTGAAAGATTAAAAAAATAATAAAATAACATGACTAATTCATAAAGTTACATAACTTACTGAAGAAAGATATTTTTTTAAAAGATTATTCAATCAAGAATGGGTATTTAAATTTATAATGTAAGAGTGAACAGATGATGATAAAAAGAAAAAGAAAAAAAAACAAACGTTAGCAAAAAGAAATCAAAGGTTATGCAATTTTAGAAAGTGCAACTGTTAGCAAAATCTCTAAAAACGAAGGCATAATGGGATTCAAGTGCAGGGGTTTCATGGAATGAATTCGACTAATTGAAAATGAGATGTTTATTTCAAACAAAAAAGAAGAACATTGAAAAATTAAACATTAAAAAACAAACAACAACATCAAAGGTATCATAAACATGCAGCTTACATAAAAGTATCTTAAAAACAAGAAAATATGTAATAACGGTGACGAGAGGGACTACGATGGAAGCGACAAACGGTGACTAGAGGCATTGCATCGGAAGCGACAGAGAGGACATGTTCCACTTTTCACAAACCATTCTAAGATACAATCATAGTGACAAACATGGGAACAAGGCAACCTTGCATTGTCACGAGTCCTTAACTCTCCCAAGCATATGGCACAGTTTTCCTCTTCATCTCCTTTGAATCTCACGAGTGTTGATGCCCCCGCAGGCAAAGAAAAATTGCCCTCACAAGCCACTTTCTGCACAAACTCTCTTGATGGAACTCGTCCAATATAGCTAGAGGATGTCACATTCAGTGCGTTGTAAAAACAGCATCCCTTGAATTCCATAACATATATGCAAAAATATTCTTTCTTAAGCCCCTCGCATTGCGATACCAAGGCACATAACATTCTAAGAATGTTATCAATCATGTCACAATCATGCCCGTTATAGTAAGTTTGAGGTATGCCTATTTTTTCAAGGAGAAGCTCTATACAATCTTCGGAGAAAGATTTGAAGGTCATCAAAAAGTTATTGTAATTTGGTAACATCAAAGGGTAACCTTTCAATTTACCGCTTGATTCTGAAGCCCCAAAAATAGTGAAGTGAGCCATATCACTGTTCGAAGAGTCTACTGAATAGAGTTGATAAAGAATTTCTTGTGTGATGGTCATGACGAAGGAGTGGTACTTTTGGCTGTGGTTGAGACTTGAGAGGAATAGCAATCAGAAAGAGCGGAGAGAAGTAAAGGAGTTATACTTTCAGTTGGTTCTTGAATCTGTAATTATATTTATAGCGCTCGAGAATATATTTATAAGCTTATGATCAATATCTTGGAACCGTTATCAAATAAGATTTAGATAATAATTGAAAAATTTTGCTAAAACTAAATGATTTGTTGTTGATATTGTTTTCTTTATTGGTTTAAAAATTCTTTATCTCTCTAAATATTATTTTATAGATTTAAAAGATTTTTTTGTGTGTGAATATTTTATTTATATTTTTCTTATATCATTCAGGATTTTATTATCTTTTGTATTTTGAATATAATTCTTTTTTTAAATACCTTATCATAAACACATAAATTATTCCATGAATTATTATTATTTAGCAATTTACTTTAAAACTTATACCTAATTGGTAATTTTAAAATTAAATTATGGACTTAATTATCTTTTAGTTTTTTATATTTTAATTTCTGTGTTGTTTTATTTTTTCTAATTTCAATTGCTTATAATTAATTTTTTAAATTTTTTAATTATTTAAATTATGTCTTTCGTATTAAAATTATATCTAATAATTAGCAAAAAAAATAATAAAGGTGTATTATATTTAGATAATAATATTATATTTTTAGAGTAAGTTCCATCTTTTTTAGGTCTTTTCTGAATAGATTTTTTTAAGATTTTCTCTCCATGAGTTATTTTGTAATTGTAATTGTTTTTTTTTTTTTAGTTTTTAAGTCTTGTTTAATAGAAAAAATATATAATCACTGTAAATTTTACGGTACTCCTTATAATTGAAAGGTTTAGTACTATCACTTACATTTAAAATAATATTAATTGTTAATTTTATATTAATAGATAGTTAGTGATTTAGTTGAAAAAAACATTAATATCTTCTCATTTTTAAAACAGTAGAAAAATCACAGTTATTAATTTAAAGAGAGTATAAAATACTCTCTCAAATTTACGGATACTATAACAAGTACCATGTAATAAAGATTTATCATATTATTTATTTGTACAAATTAATGAAAAAAATTATTTGAAAAAATAACAATCAATTCACAATCATAAGATGTCAAATTCAGAGTCCAAACTTAAAAAAGGAGAAGAGAATTAGGAGCAACATTGTACTCAATATAAAGAGATAAATCCCTAAAACCAAGTTTAGTTAATAGATCACTACACTTATTAGTCTCTCTATAAAAACAAGGAAATATGTAAGGGCTGATCTTAACGGTGACATGAGGCACTACACTGCAATTCGGAAGCGACACAGAGGACATGTTCCACTTTTCACAAACCATTCTAAGATACAATCATAGTGACAAACATGGGAACAAGGCAACCTTGGATTGTCACGAGTCCTTAACCCTCCCAAGCATATGGCACAGTTTTCCTCTTCATCTCCTTTGAATCTCACAAGTGTTGATGCCCCCGCAGGCAAAGAAAAATTGCCCTCACAAGCCACTTTCTCCACAAACTCTCTTGTTGGAGCTTGTCCAACATAGCTAGAGTATGTCATATTCAGTGCGTTGTAAAAACAGCATCCCTTGAATTCCATAACATATATGCAAAAATATCTTTTCTTAATCCCATCCCATTGCGATACCAAGGCACATAACATTCTAAGAATGTTATCAATCATGTCACAATCATGCCCGTTATAGTAAGTTTGAGGTATGCCTATTTTTTCAAGGAGAAGCTCTATACGATCTTCGGAGAAAGATTTGAAGGTCATCAAAGTGTTACGATAATCTGAAAAGATCAAACGGTAACTTTCTACTTCATGCCTTGATCCTGAAGCTCCAAAAATAGTGAAGTGAGCAGTATCATCGTTCTCTCTAGAAACGAGTTGATAACAAATGTTTAGTGCGAAGATCATGACGAAGGAAGGGTACTTTTGGCTGTGATTGAGAGGAATCGCAATCAGAAGAGAGAAGCAAAGGAATAGTAATATTATAGTTTTAGTGGGATCAAGAATTTGAAACCTTAGATATATTTATAGTGCTCAAGGATATTTTGATAAGCTTATGATCAATCTCTTGCTGGAACTGTTACCAAGAAGATTTAGATGATAATTGAAAAGATTTGATAAGTTAGAAGGTTTAAAGCAATCGTTATTTCTCTAAATATTATTTTTATAAATTTTAAAAGATTTTTTTTTTAGTATTCTATTCATATTTCTCATATATCATTCACAAATTTTTTATTTTATATTAAAATCAAATGACATTTAAATTTTTAATTGAAAAGATTCTTGTATATCTAGACTATAAATCCTCTTTTGAATTCCGTGTTTTAATGCATGATTTAATTATATTTTAAAATTAAATTATATACTTAATTATATTTTTAGTTTTCTATACTGTAATTTATGTGTTGTTTTAATCTCTTTAATTTTTTTTTAAAACTACATGAATAACTGGGTATGATAACAGTTAGAGTCGGAATACCCTCTTAGTCTATGTATTTGGTGGTTAGTTTCTCTAATTTTGATTGCTTATATTTTTTAATTATTTAAATTATTAATTTTCACAAATTCATAAAAAATGAAATATTTAAATAAAACAATAAATAACATGTAAAGATATAATAAATTTTTCTTATTTGTATTTAATCTTTATATTTTTTTTTTATAAACCTATTCAAATCAATGATATATCATGTTTTTGTTTTATTTATATTATTTATTAGATAAAAATTTAGAGTGAGAAACATAATTTAAATAATTAAAAAATATATATAAAAATATAATATGAACAATTACAAACTAAGGATCCATTTAGCTGATATTGATATGATAAAATAGAAAATAATAGGATATAAGAGTTAGATAATAACATAATAGTATAAACACTTTATTTTATTTTTTATTTAATGCATATTATATAAAATAATAAATTAGATACATTATATTATTTTAACTTCTTTATAGGACAAAGTTTATATTAAAAAAAATAATACGATCAGGACATAAGATATACTTGTTATATATCATGTTGGTTCAACAAATATAAAACAATAATAAAAAAAAGTTATCTTATTCGCTTAAAAATGAAATTAATAAGTCTAAATTATTATTTTTTTTGTTGTAAAAAAATTATTTAGTGATTTTATTTTAAAATATTTTTTATGCTTCATTTTTTTAGAATATCAACTGTAAAAGAAAAGAAAGAAAATAATAAATTATTTAATTTCAAAAGTTTGAATTTAGATGTTTATATTCTTAATTAATGATTTAACATCTCTAAAATAAAAAGAACACATGTTTAAGTTAAAAGAATGAAAATTTATTTAATGTTGATTTAAATCAAAAATTATAAATATAATAAAGCTTTAAAACGATAGTAAATAAATTCTCATCATAATCTTTATACAATTTTTTTCATTTTAAAGGAATTAAATTCTTAATTAATTAATCTAATTATTTGGTGTAGTTGTGTAAAGTTTCATTTCATTTATATATATGTGGAGTCATAATGTGAAGTCTTGTATTTAAATTATAGTGTATATGAAATTTTCTCCACACAAAAAATTCCCTAATTAATTAATTATTTTTAAATTATTCTTATATAACTAGAGTATGAGTTTTCAAAAGTCGCTAAATTCATTGCTGTATTATTTTCCATTACTTAAGAGTGCACGTGACTTTTTGTGCTTATCTTTAATTTGAATTTATTTAAATTAAGTATACTTTTTTTTATAACTTTAAATAGTTTTTAGTATATACTTTGAATATTCTACTTAAATTAATTATACATATTTTGTAATTTTAAATGTTCATATGAAATATTTTCTTATAATTTATATTTTTTTTCAATACATGTGCACACATGAATACTTTTTGATGAAAAAAAAAACAAAAATTGTTGATGTAATAATACCTTTTTTATATTTTGCTTACAAAGAAAGTTAATGTAATTTTGAGTAACACAATTATTCCAAAAGAATTATAGAAAATATATTTGTAAATACATATACAATGACATTGATAAAAGAAAATAGTGCAAAATTAAAGCAGTTGAGGGTTTTTTTTTTTTTCCTTAAATAGGGTGAATGGAGAAACTAATTCTCCATGTAGGATATAGGGTGAGCATATTAATTCCTATTGTGGCATATAATAATCTGTATAGGTTGCATGAATAACTTCAAAATATATATTCCACTAACTTATAAAAATCTATGAATGTTGCGTGATATATTATAATAATATTAATTTTTTGTTAAAAATATATTTTTTATTATATATTTAGTATCATTGATATATTAAAGTTTATGATATGTTATGATTTTTAATAAAAATTTATATATAAATTTGTTATTTTTATAACGATTCAATTAAAATTTTGTTATAATTTTTTATTATAGATCTTTAACTATTTGTTAAAAAGAAATAAAAGTTTAATATATATAAAATTTTATTATGTATTTTTAATCCACGTTAAAAAGTTATGATAATACTAGTACACGAGTTACATTTTTTCTCTATACAAATTTTATAACTTTTTGATAATTATTTTTTCTCTGTTTCTCATCATGTAATATATCTTGTGTAATTTCCTGTTTATCACTCAGTGAATCTGTGGATGCATGCTGAGTTATTATAGAATTATATTTATTTAATTGTAACGTGATTTTATAAAAACGAATTGATATTTGATTATTTTGGATAAAAATAATTTTATTTAAAATTAATACTTAAATTAATATAATATATTATAATTATTTTTGTTTAGTTATAAATTTATATTAAAATTTATTATTAATTTATTATTTATAAAATTAAATATAAATCATGTTATTTTATTAAATTTACACTGATAGTGATCTTTCAAACTAAGCTTTACAAAATTCACCCAACCATGCACTAGGTGAAGAAAAGAGTTATATAAATAAATTTTCTGTAATACATTCTGCAATGGCAACGATAAAAAAAATTAATGCTCCAATAGCTAAGCAACTCAGATCCTGCATCTTCCATCTTCTCTAGCTCTGGAAACTTGTCACAGTCTCACACTCAAAAAGAAACACTGAAACACTAACAATAAACACAAAACTCACAAAACCACAAGAGAACACACTCAATCACATCTTCATATATAAACCATTTCCAGCAGAGAGCCTGAGAAACAAAACCAAACACCCCATCAACAAACCATTCAGAAAGCACCCATTTTTAACCTCAAACACAGTTGAAACCCAAAACCCAGATGCCACTTTAACCCGATCCACCTTCTTCTCAAATGGGTCACTCAAATTTACCACCCACTCCCAAGCGCAACAACAACACGCGCCAATGGCGCTTCCTAGACCTTGTTTCCGCAGCGTTCTTCTTCTTCGTTTTCCTCTTCTTTGCAATGGTATTCACTCCTCTAGGTGACTCCCTCGCCGCCTCCGGCCGCCAGACTCTCCTCCTCTCCACCGCCGACCCGAGACAGCGCCACCGCCTCGTGGTTGCGATTGAGGCGGGGAAGCACATCGTGGAGGCGTGCCCTGCCGACGAGGTGGATCACATGCCGTGTGAGGATCCGAGGCTGAACAGCCAGCTGAGCAGGGAGATGAACTACTACAGAGAGAGGCATTGCCCCAGGCACCAGGACACGCAGCTCTGCCTCATTCCGCCGCCGAATGGGTACCGGATTCCGGTATCGTGGCCGGAGAGCTTGCACAAGGTATGTGTTGAGTTTTGTTTTGGTGCTGAGAGAGTTTTGGAAAGTTGGTAAATGTTTGTTTGTTTTATGTTTTCTTGATTGTGTTTTGTTTGGTGCCTTGTTTTTGTTCATAAGCTTGTCTTGGAAAGTTTGTGGATATAGGTTATAATTCTCTTATGTTGTTTAATAAGCTTTTCTTTATATAGTTTATTAGAATAAGCACTTTTCAGCTTATTACCAGAAATTTTATGATCAAAATTATGATATAAGCCTTCTTGTAAAAAGAGTTTATTGAATAAGTGCTTAATTAAGCCACGTTTCTGAACGTACCTTAGTTTAGAATTCTGTTTGGGGATTTATCTTGTGAGTATATGTGGATTATTTTAGTGTTCTGGAGTTTGTGTTATAAGAAGAAAGCTGCATTTTCAGCTGTTCTGGGTCCTGGGCCTTGATGCCGGTATGACATTTGAATAGCTGATATGTCTTGGTGATTAGAATAAGAAAGTATTTGTGTTGTAAGGTTGTGAAAGGTTTCTTATTTGAATTTGTATGGCCTGAACTGGGATTACTTCATAATGCAATGTCAATGTGTTGTTTTTTAAGGTAAAAGCATTGAGGGCTGCCTCTAATTTAGGATTGTTATTGATATAACAGAATGCTGTGTTTGTGTTTTCTGGTGATCATATTTCGGAGCCAACAGGGCCTCATTGTTTTGGACAGAGAAGATTCCCTTCTCGATGCGAATTGAAATGTGTTAGAACTTAGAAGAGGTCTCTTTATTGATAGTGTAATCTTTGTGACAATCATGATAGTGAGGTGAAATTGAGAAAGAGTTGATTGAGATTGGAGAATAGGAAAGGACAGAAAAGAGGATGGCTTAAATTAATTAATTCTCATGGTTTGATTGATTTGCTTCTATTAAGTACTTTGTTCCCCTGGTAGTTTTCTGTAATATTAAAAGATTTTTAAGAGGGTGGATTGGAGAGGGTAATGTAAATATTGTTTTGGGGTTGTCTATGGTGTGCCCATGGGCATGCGGTAACAAGGAAAATTAGGAAGTTTCTATTAGAAAAGAACGTATTTGTCATATTGAAATCACAAAAGTCATTCCTACAGGGTGTATTTAATGCTTTCGCAGCATGTGCCCTGTACACAATAGAAAATCCCTATTTGTTTTTTCTATATTTCCCACTTTATCTCTTTCACATCAAAGGAGGACTGAAGGACATCTATAAAATATCATAATATAGTTTATAATGTTGCTCATATTTGTCACTTGTTAATCCATCCATCTAAAGCATTAATAATATATTCTGTGCAGATATGGCATGGCAATATGCCACACAACAAGATTGCTGACAGGAAAGGTCACCAGGGATGGATGAAACTAGAAGGTCAACACTTTATATTCCCTGGTGGTGGTACAATGTTTCCAGATGGAGCAGAGCAATATATTGAAAAACTTGGTCAGTACATTCCAATAAGTGGAGGTTTTCTGAGGACTGCACTTGACATGGGGTGTGGGGTAAGAGTTGTTTTCCTTTGAGACCTTACTAGAAATTTTGCTGTTTAACATGCAAATAAATCTCTGTTTTTTTTTACAGGTTGCTAGTTTTGGAGGATATTTACTTGCTCAAAATATTTTAACCATGTCTTTTGCTCCAAGAGATTCACATAAAGCTCAAATACAATTTGCTCTGGAAAGAGGAATTCCTGCTTTTGTTGCTATGCTTGGCACTCGCAGACTCCCATTTCCTGCATTTGGATTTGATTTAGTTCATTGTTCTAGGTGTTTGATCCCATATACAGCCTACAGTAAGTTCTTCATTGCAGCTTACAGTGCATATATTCCAATCTTCTACATGCTTGTCACTTCCCTAATGCAGAAAATCTTCCTTGCAGATGCCTCCTATTTCATTGAAGTGGATAGATTACTTCGGCCTGGTGGATATTTAGTCATCTCTGGTCCCCCTGTTCAATGGCCTAAACAAGATAAAGAATGGTCTGATCTCCAGGCTGTAGCAAGAGCCTTGTGTTATGAATTAATTGTTGTAGATGGTAACACTGTGATCTGGAAGAAGCCTGCAGGAGAAACATGTCTTCCCAACCAAAATGAATTTGGTATCAAGCTATGCGATGATTCAGATGACCCAAGTCAAGCTTGGTAATTTCGAGTTGCCTATTGCTAGTTTGAGTTAGTTTTCCTTTTATTATCCTTGCTTCTTTTTCTGTCTTTTGTTCAGCATTGATGTGTATAGGACTAGGGTGAATGCTCTCATTGTTAAAATTCTGTCGTTTATTGTTGTTTCAAAATGTGAAATTAAGTTGATTATTTACAGGTACTTGAAATTGAAGAAATGTGTCAGTAGGACATCTTCTATCGAAGGAGATTATGCTATTGGGACCATTCCCAAGTGGCCAGATAGGCTAACTGCTACACCTCCAAGGTCTGCACTTCTGAAAAATGGTGTTGATGTGTACGAGGCTGACACTGGGCGGTGGGCAAGGAGGGTTGCGCACTATAAGAATTATCTAAACATCAAGTTGGGAACTCCATCTGTGCGCAATGTCATGGACATGAATGCATTATTTGGGGGTTTTGCGGCAGCCTTAAAATCTGATCCTGTATGGGTAATGAATGTAGTTCCTGCTCAAAAGCAACCCACTCTTGATATGATCTTCGACAGAGGTCTTATTGGAGTCTATCATGATTGGTGAGTTTTTGCTGATAGTTTCATGCATCTTCTGAGTTCTGAATTTTTCTTAATTGATTACATAATTTGAAAATAAGATATATTGTGCTTTACCTAGAAGAAAATAGGATACATTGTGGGTGTATTGCAATGATTGTTGTCTTAAGACCAGAACATCAATTCAACTGGTATTTCAGCCGTTTCATTTTGCTTACAAGAAGTTGTTACTTCCTGCACTCAATTTTTGACATATTCATGATGCTTGTTGCTTTACTTTTCTTGACAAAATTACTACTCTATGCTGTATCTTGGGCCTGTGTGTGCATAGATATGCTTTTATTGAAATTCAGAATGTGTCATGCTAATTTGGTTCTCATCTGAGAGTTAATTTGTTTTTATCTAAGTTGATGTCCAACTCTGCTTAATTAAGCAATGATTAGCCTTTTTTTCAAATAAAACTTTAGTTGTAAGATTTTGTGATCTTAGTGAGTCTTATATGGAAAAGGAGTTAAAATCTTCTAGGTATCATTATAAAATGAAAATAATGTACTTAAGCTCTCTAGCTTCTTTGAATTTTTTTATCTAGATCCTGCTTTTGATCTTAAGTCAAATTTTTATTTAAATCAATTGAACATGTATTTCAATTTATAATGGAAGAATTTAAGTTGTATGGTTATGTTCCAGGTGTGAACCATTTTCAACATACCCTCGAAGTTATGATCTGATCCATGTGGCAAGCATTGAATCCCTTATAAAAGATCCAGCTTCTGGTGAAAGCAGGTATATTTCATGTCAAACTGCTAACTGTTAATATATTAATTTGGTACAGATCTTGCTGAATATATTTAATTCCTAAATTGAAAACTCACGGTCATTGCATGCAGATATTTGTTAAAATGGACAACATGTAGAGAAAGTGTCATAATGAAAAATTGCTGCTTGAACTAAGTTGCATGCAGTAATGTGTTAAATTTGTGTTGAAGCATATTGGTCTGCACAGCCTGATCTTCTTAAAACTACTAATTGTAATGATATTCAAGACTGGCAGCTGAGACACCACCTAATTTTTCTTATAATTAACAGTGGTAAAACTCTTCCTTGGGATTATGTCTTACTCTTGGCTGCTTCTTTGACACATTATTTTAATATGATTCATTTTTTTTCCGGTGAATATGAATGTTTATTTCATTCAATTGATCGCATTTAAACATTTAAAACTTCAAAATGTCTAAACAAATGGTCTACTTCTACAGCTAGGTCACATTATTTTGATTAGTTTTAATCTGTATAGCTTGCATCAATAAAAGACATTGTATGTTCCTTGGTATGCTCTGGAATGATTGATTAGAATTATAGTGTGGATGAAGGAGCGGTTAACACTTGCTCAGTTGCCTAGATTGCCAGTGTCCTTCTATTAAATTCATCTTAGACCACAACTTCCAACAACTGCCTCTTCACTGATGCAAAATGTTAAGTGGGTATGCAATTGTTTCAAGTAAACATTGATATCACCCTGATTGCTTCACACTTTCATTGCAGATGTAATCTTGTTGATTTGATGGTGGAAATTGATCGAATGTTGCGGCCAGAGGGAACTGTCGTGGTGAGGGATGCCCCTGAAGTAATTGAAAATGTAGCTCGCATTGCTGGTGCAGTGAGGTGGAAGCCTACCATTTATGATAAAGAACCCGAATCACACGGCCGAGAACAGATTCTAGTTGCAACCAAGACCTTCTGGAAGCTGTAATTCTTATCCCACTGACACAACTGTGTAATTTTAGGTAAAATTTCCTTCTCCATTATGTGGGGATGAGGGTCTCAAAGATATCTTGTCTATATCTATATGTGCATCAAATGGATGCAGTTTTCCAACTTTGTTCAATATTTTAATATAAAGAAGATAGTAAGGTTAATAGTTGAAAAAGATGAAACGCTTCAGTGCAGTTTTACGTTGAAAACACAAGCCAATTTTGTTTTCTCTTAAGGATGAATTGTAATTGAAAATTTTATTTATTAAAATAGAATTATCATTGATTCCCATTCAGCTACATTTCACCCTTTGTTCTTTTTTCTTCATAAGTACATTGTTGCTTACTTTTATCACGGATTGAATCTAAATACCTGTTAGAGATGTAATATTTGTGTATTATTTATTTGAGGCACATGAAAAAGTAACAACACGAAAGTGACACAGGATACACCAGGTATTAGTATATATCAACCCGAAAGTGCTTGGAATTTAAGAAACGTAGTTCCCTGGCAAGGGAAAAGATAACATCATAAACTTCACTGGGTATATGTAAACAATTTTGACAATTCAAATAATAATAATATAATAAAATGGAACCAGGTCACCAGAGCATTATTCTTTGACTTACATGAAAATAAGTTAAGACGTGAAAGAGTCATAAATGAAAAAGTTTAATAACACAAAAATATAAAGGTAGTACGGAGAATGCTAATTTTTAAGTCTTAAAAAATGAAAACTACTATTGACTTACTCATGAATTTCAATACAAACTTCTTATAATTTCTAATAAAAAAATATTTATGAATTTTTTTTAACTAATACGCTTAGGACATTAACAAATTTATAAATCAGTTACCATATGTAACATGTATAAAAGGGAGTTTTGGTGCAAAATTCCGTAGAAAGGAAGGACACGTGTCAGACTATCCGCATCGTACAAGAGTCACTGAAGGATTACACACGTTGAGGCATGTTGAGAAATTTCCTTCTCTTTTAAATTCCCTTATCAGAAATTCTCTTTTCTCTCTGCAAAATTCTGAACTCTGTTTTTTTTTCTTTTTCTTTAAGCCTTTTCTTCAGGTGATGATTGTGACGTGAGCCGATTCTTACTCGAAGATTGTTCTTGTATATCGTTGACTCATTGTTTAGATTTTGTTTGAAGTTGTATTTTCATTGCGATTCTGAATTTCTATTTCAACTATATTCCTACATTTCATTGGTGCTTTTATTGGCTTCCATGGCTGAGAACACTTATTTGACGGAATTACAAACTGAAATTCATACTCATTTGGAGGATATCTGTCATATCGATCAAATGATGGATTTACGTTACTAGGAATAAAAAGATAAAATGTTTCAAATGCAAACTTCGATAGATCAGATCTAGTTAGCAATGAATCAATTGTTGCAAACTGTGTTTCTCAGCACTATGGGAGTCCTTCGAACAATGGTACTCCAATTATGACACTGGTTAGTGTCACGTTGCCGATGAAGGAGATCTCTCTCGAATTTTCGCATTTTCATGGAACTAATCCTATTATGGAGTGGATTTTTAAGGCGGAGAAATCTTTCTCTTATCATAATATTCCTGAAGCAGCTTGTGTTGATATTGCTGCAATGCACTTTGACAAGGATGTAGTGTCGTGGTTTTAGATGTCGCAGAGCTTTCTATGGTATCTACTTGGCCAGAATTAACTCGTGCCTTGGAGTCACAATTTGGTCCTTCTCCATTTGATTGTCCAATGGCTGAGTTGTTTAAGCTACAGCAAACAGGTTCTGTTTCTGATTATTATCTTAAACTCATGTCCCTGGCTAATAGATCTCTTGGATTGAGTGATGAGGCCTTCCTTAATTGCTTTATTAGTGGTTTGAATGCTGATATTCGTAGGGATGTTGTTGCTATGACTCCTCGTACTTTACTTCGTGCAATAGCTTTATCTAAGGTTTAGAAGAAAAATATAATCCAATTCCTAAGCCAACTCGAAGTTCTTATACCTAAAAATATTCTCAGATTTCCGTTACTCCTGTTTCTATTAGTTCTCAACCAAAATTTCAAAATAAAACTAGTTTGCCAACACTTTTACCTACTCCACATGGACCTTCATTGAAATCCTCTAATGTTAAGAGGATTAGTCCTGCTGAAATGTAGTTGAGAAGGAAGAAAGGCCTTTGTTATTTCTATGATGAGAAGTTTTCTTTTAGTCATAGATGTCCTAACAGACAATTTTTGTTTTTACAATTGGAAGAAGATGATATTGAAGATTCTTCTAGTTTGGCTGTATCTCAAGTGGTTCATGAAGCTAAAATTATGGAACCTGATGATCATCATTTATCCTTGAATGCTTTGAAAGGTGGTGTAGGAGTTGGTACTATCAGATTTTTGGCCTATATTGATAGACTTCCTATGACTATGTTGATTGATGGAGGAAGTTCAGATAATTTCTTATAGCCTAGAGTGGCTAAGTTTTTGAAACTGCCTGTTGAACCAGCTACTCAATTTTGAGTAATGGTTGGTAATGGTAACTATATAACTGTGGAAGGATTGGTTAAACAATTAAAAGTTCAGGCTCAAGGTAATGTTTTTCATTTGTCAGTGTTCTTGCTTCCTATCCTAGCTGCAAATCTTATTTTAGGAGCAAGCTGGTTGAAAACAATTGGACCCCATATTGCAGATTATGATGCTTTGCAATTGAAGTTTTTGATGAATAACAAATTCACTACTCTACATGGAGATTATAAATTGGTACCTAAGCAGGGTCAATTACACCATATCAAGAGGATGGTTGCTACTAATTCTATTGCTGAAGTTTATAGCATGTATTTGCTAGAGGAGAATGTTACACCTAAGTCTATGTTGGACTTACCTAAAAATATGGAGCTTGAATTAGCTCTATTGTCATACACTTATAGTGTTGTTTTTGACACACCTACTAGTCTATCTACCTCTTCAGAGATCCCATGATCACTCAATTCCTTTGTTAGAAAGGTCTCAACCTATTAAAGTTAAACCTTACAAGTGTCCACATAGTTAGAAGGAAGAAATAGAGAAATTGGTTTCTGGCATGCTTGATGAAGGTATCATACAGCCTAGCAAAAGTATCTTTTCTTCTCCAATCATTTTGGTAAAGAAAGAGGATAGCTCTTTGAGGGTTTGTACTGATTTTAGAGCTTTGAATGCAATCACACTTAAGGATAGTTTCCATATTCCTATTATTAATGAGCTCATTGATGAATTATTTGGAGCATTATTCTTTTCTAAACTAGATTTCAGGTCTAGTTATCATCAGATATTGTTGAACCCTGAAGATAGACATAAGACTGCATTTAGAACTCATCATGGCCATTATGAGTGGTTGGTTATGCCATTTGGCTTGACCAATGCACTTGCAACCTTTCAAAGTCTCATGAATGACATTTTTGCTGGTTTGTTAAGGAAATTTGTTTTGGTATTTTTTTTATGATATTCTGGTCTATAGTGCTAATTGGAAGGACCATTTATATCTTTTGAAGGTGGCTTTAAACATTTTAAAATAGCGTCCATTGTTTGCAAGGCTTTCTGAGTGTTGTTTTGGAGTTCAAAAAATTGACTACTTGGGACATACTCTTTCGGGGTCTAGCATAGTTATGGAGGCAACTAAATTGGAGGTTGTTCAGAATTGGCTTGAGCCTAATAATTTGAAACAATTAAGAAACTTTCTAGGACCTACAGGTTATTATAGTAGGTTTGTTAAGTCCTATGCTAACATTGCAGCACCATTGACTGATCTATTGAATAAGGACTCCTTCAAATGGAGTCAAGCTGCCTCTTAAGCTTTTCAGCAACTTAAGTCAGCTATGACATCTGCACCTGTGTTAGCCATTCCTAATTTTAATGAACCATTTGTGCTTGAGACTGATGCCTCCAGGAGTGGAGTTGGTGCTGTGTTAAGTCAAAACAAGCATCCTATAGCCTATTTTTCTAAGAAACTATCTGGTCGAATGCATAAGCAATCTGCCTATACTAGAGAAATTTATGCTATTACTGAAGCTCTAGCTAAATTCAAACACTATCTCTTAAGCCATAAGTTTATCATTAAGATTGATCAGAAAAGTTTAGAAGAGTTGTTGGAACAAAAGCTGCAAACTCCTGAGCTTCCTAAGTTCTTAAGATATGATTTCACTCTTCAATACAAGCTTGGGAAAGAGAATATACATGTTGATGCATTGTCTAGAAGTTTTATGATGGCCATCTCTAGTCCAATCCACTCTTGGATAAATCAAGCGATTGATATGACTCAAACTAATCCTCAATTAATGAAAATCTATCAAAGTTACTTGCAGGGCAAACATCCTTCTATTGATTATAGCATTCAAAATGGTTTATTGACGTTCAAGGATAAAATTGTATTACCTAATGATTCAGAATTGTTATATCAAATCATGAAGGAATTTCATAGTTCTAAAATTAGTGGACATGCTGGGGACAATAAAACAGTAGCTAGAATTGGAGCTCAATTTTACTGGAATGGAATGAGAAGTGCCATTAGTAAATTTGTTAGAGAATGTTCAATTTGTCAACAAGTCAAAGTTGATCATATGTTGCTTGCCAACTTGTTACAACCTCTCTCAATTCCTCAACAAATTTGGGAGGATATAACAATGGACTTCATTGTGCAGTTGCCACCTTCTCAAGGATTTATCACTATTTTTGTGGTTTGTCAATAGGCTTTCTAAATTTGGTTATTTTATTTCTATGAAAGCTGATTGCAATAGTAAAGTGGTTGTTGAGGCCTTTATTGGTAATATTGTGAAAATTCGTGGATTTTCAAGGTCCATAATATCAGATAGAGACAAAATCTTCGTTAGTACTTTTTGGCAACAATTATCTAAAGCTCAAGCCACAGCATTATCTATGAGTTCTTCATACCATCCTCAATCTGATAGACAAACTAAGAATTTCAATAAGACACTGGAGATATATTTGAGATGTTTAGTGTTTGAGCACCCTAAAAGTTGGGTTACAATGCTTCCTTGGGCTCAATTTTGGTACAACACTTCTTTCCATCACAGTTTGGGTATGACACCATTTCAAGCTATTTTTGGTAGACTTCCTCCATCAGGAATTCATTATGAAGCTGATCATAAGGATCCTAGTCAGTGGAAAGAGTCCTTGCAGCAAAGAGATCAACTTTTGTCCAAGCTTAAAGGGAACTTATTAAATGCACAACAGTATATGAAAATGCAGGCACATAAGAAGAGGAGGGATTTGCATTTCAAAGAAGGTGATTTGGTTCTAGTGAAACTTCAACCATATAGACAACATTCAATTGCTTTAAGGAAACATCAGAAGCTAGGCATGCATTTTTTTGGTCTATTTCCTGTGCTTGAGAAGATTGGTGTAGTAGCTTACAAGTTAAAGCTCCCAAAATCTGCTAAGATCCACCCATCTTTCATGTTGCTCTTCTTAAGCCATTTCATGGTATGGTTTCTCAACCTTATGTTCCTCTATCTTTTATATCCTGTGAGTTGAGTCCACGTTAAGAGAATATATTGTTGAGGGATTACACATGTTGAGGCATGTTGAGGTAGATCTCTCTCTGAAATTCCCTTATTAGAAATTATCTTTCTTCTTTGCAAAATTTTGAACTCTGTCTTTTCTTCTTTGAGCTCTTTCTTCAGGTGATCATTGTGATGTAAGCTAAATTTTTACTTGAAGATTATTCTTGTATATCGTTGACTCATTGTTTAGTTTCTATTTTAAAGTTATATTTTTGTTATGATCCAAATTTTTTTTCAACTATATTCCTGTGTTTCACCATAAGTTATAAATCAATCAAACTAACTTATAAATTAAAAAAAATAAATTATAAACTAACAAAAATCACTTTAACATACATTCGTAATTAGTAACATGTTATAGTCCCCTCAAAAGTTGCAAAGACATGACTACCGATTAAAAAACAGTTAATCCAAATTGTTCATCTTATTTATTTATCTTACCTTTATATTTCTTTATTTAAAAAATAAATTTAATTAATGGTGTTTTAAATATAATAATTAATTTTTAAAAAATATCTTTAAACTTTTAAATGTTTTAATATAATTATACAAAATAATAAATAAAAGTTGGAGATCGAGTTACTTTAAATGTAACTCTTATCAATATTACCCTATTTAACATCTTTTTATAAACATTAAATTTAATAAACTCAATAATTCAATATTATTATTTTAAAAATTATAAAATAATATATAAATAAGAGAAATGATTTTGTTTTAAAATATTGATTAAAAATGAACAAAAATAATAATTATACTCAATAATTTTTAATTACTAAAAATAAAATTAAATATTTTATTTAATAATATAAAATATTTTTATTTGATATTTTTTTTACTTTCTTAATTAATGATTTAAGAATATTTTCAGTAATTTTCTTTCTTTAAGCTTTGTGAAAAAATTATTTAATCAATTAATTATTTTTTTTCTGCAAAAGTAATACCAAGCATGTTCTTAGGGCCACAAAACGAGTGCCCCTTCAGGTGATGTTATTTGCAACACTTAATTAAAACAGTTTTAATTGTATCTAAGAAATACCAAACGATTTTGTGAGATATAGGAATATTTTAGGTTTCAATAAATTATAAAAATTATAAATGAGATATGTAAAATTGAAATTTTAATCAAAACACATAATATAATCCGAATCATCATGCATATATATATATATATGTCTACTAGCTCCCATTAACTATTTTGGGCCATTAGCAGCCCAACATTTAAATTGGAAAAATCACTTGATTTAAGACCCATTACAATACAAATATCTCAAATGCTCAATGCTACATACAAATCACCCCATTTTTTACAGCTAAGTTAAGCTCAACTGCATCATGTGATCTGCTACAGTCTTTTGGTTGCACGTTACCTACATACAACCCTTACATGTTGACAATAAAACTAAAGTTAAAAACCCTACATCATCATCGTTAGCTAAAGCACATATTCTATCACATTGCTCAGGTTATAAATATTTCTTTTCGAAATTAGAAATTTCATCAACGTTCAAAATAGAGAATTGAAAAAAATTAGAACAAAAGTGCCCATTTATAAATAATTATTAGGTGATTCCATATCATCTCACCCCACTACTTATATTTTGTTAAGTGTGAATTTTTTTTTATAAATTATAAAATTTATATATGTAACGTAGTATAATAAACCTGAAATATAATGTACCACAACCTGAATGAAGCAGAGGTGACAGAGTACATTCATAATTGCATCGATTTCAAGTGTCATAGTAGGGTCAGAAATTTAATGTACCACAACCTTCATACGCTCTGCACACAATCATAACAACACTCTTTTATTTATATAATTTTAAATAAATTTAAAAATAATCAATATACATATTTTATCCTTTTCAAAATAAATCAATCATATTTATAAAAATATATATCTTAGGA